CCTTGTAGGCTGGAATTCTGCCAGCCCACAAGAGAAAAGCCACAGTTATATGTTTTTCACTTTTAAAGGAGAACTCATTTTTAAAGTTTGCTTGTGACCATTTCTTGAGACCTACTTTTGGGTTGCGACCCATGTTTTGATAAACGCTGGCCTAGATCATGCCCGACCAGTCAGTGCTGTCCAACATCTTTTTGAACACCTCCGATGATGGAAAGTCCACAAGTTCCCTAGGCAATCCGTTCCACTCCCTCACTGTTCTAACCTCTGCAAACAGAGGGCTGGTACTGGAAATACAGCGAGGTTTTCAGGCTCTGTTCTATGCCTTGTCAGTTAAACATGTGGACAAAAAGAAAAGGGGAAGAGGTTCTCTCTTTAATTTCTACTTCCTCCCATTGGCAAGAAACTGTTGGAAATTTCTTCCCACGGTCTTGTTTGACTGGTGGCAGGATGCCTGCTGCCTCATGGGGTCCAGGTCAGGTATTCCCATGGAACCAGGTGGCGCCCAGTCCCTTTCCAAATCTGGCATTGGCAATTTACCTGAAGTTACATGGCAAGTCTCCGGTAGAGCTAGAAATATAGTTCAGCTTGCCTACCTCCCAGTCTTGGTGCTGAATCCATAGGCCACAGTTGCAGCAAGAGTAATGATTTATGGTCCTTTCTGACTGCTAAACTAACTTGCCACTCCCTGCTTTCCTGGGTGTGTTTGCACAGCAAGCTTCAGCCAGCACTGAGGAGTAATTAACTAGATATCTACTGCCTGTAAAGCATGGTGTCCAGAAAAAGAGAACAAACACAACAGTAGTCATCTTCCTTCTGCTTCATCCTCTTCAGTGCAGTAGCTGTTGTACTATGAGATAAGCTATCAGATCTTTGGATAAAGTACAAACAAGAGAGGTTTTTGCCAGATCAGCCGTTGTTTCCATTTCCCCCGTTTCCTCTCTATTTCTCTGAGCTATAAACACAGTAGGGCTGGTTGTGTTGTGGTTGCCACCAACCTGACCTTAGACCAGGTGACCTGTTTTCAGCCTGGCAACTCAACTAAGCTAGTCTCCAAGACTATTTTGGGAGGATTATTTTAATCAATGCCTGGTCTGCTACTTTGCAGCTGGGTATGCCGATGAAAGTTCACCCCACTAGTCCAGCCTTGAGCACAGCAAGCCAAGGACAAGGCAGAGTGGTAAAGACCATAAGGGGTATACCAGCTTCGGAGCAATGATGCCCTTTCCTTGGAGGTCTTCTGCCTCTTTAACCAGCATATAGTGTATTGCTGATAAAAGGGATAAAGATGGGGTAACAACTGGATATGATGGCAGTGAATGAAGAGGCATGTAAACATCTTTCACTGGGCCAGATATCCAAATTCTACCCCTGCTGGTCACTGAGGTCCCACCAGCCGATGCTTCTGTTTCTCTTGGTGCGGGATTGGGGGTTCAACTTGTTACTACTTCTTAAAGATGTGTTACTAACAAGTTATTAATTCAATAAAAATAGATCTTCTTGAAGTTTATTCTCAAAAATGCCCATCTTTTGTTGCTTTGATTAGTTTCCACTCTGGCTGATATCTGTTCCACATTTGATCTGTTGACTTGCATTATGCTTCTTTCATTCACTGAGAAGTGAGTAGAAGCGAAAGTGTTTATTTTAGTCAAGTGTTTGGTATTATTTCTTTGTTGCTTTTTATATTGTTTTTATTTTGGATTTTAAACCACATTTCCAGACCCATTTCATTGTCACTTCCTGCAACTTCATTGGTGTCAAAGATCATGTGACATCACTTCCTGATGTGATACCACTTCCTGTGAGGTCTTTGAATATGGCTCGCTGGCCCAGTGTGTGATAAAAAGTTCATGATCCGGCCCCACATTCAAAAAGGTTGGACGCCCTTGGTATACACCATGCCCAGCATACTTGCATAAATCACAAAATTGTAGCCCGACAAAAAAAAAACCCTGACTAGCAGATGTTAGATGCCTGAAGAGGAGGAGAACCCTCCTATATTTTAACCCTATTGGCAGTGAAGAGAAAGAGATATGTGGAGTCAAGAGCAAGAGAACAAGTTAGGGTGTATGGCTCAGTAAGATGAACATAATTCTGGAAGTCAACAGGCCTTAGGTTCTAGTATGGACTTTTGCTCCCACTGAAACTTGTAACTTCTCTCAATCCATTTTATCCAGTGACTGTTAAATGCAAGGTGCAATGGCTCAGACACAAAAAAGGAGAGGGGACTGGATAATGTCTAACCTGTGGTTAGCACACTGTGCTGGGAAATCAGAGATGCAGTTTCAAATGCCACTCTGGGCAAGGAGGCCAAGAACTGGGGTCTCCTGCTGCCCTAACCACTTAGATAATGGGATTAAAACATGAGAAGACTCTTGCCTCTCCTGAGCTTTTTCTGGGATTTGCACAATGTATATAGCTGTATGCCTGTGTGTATGTGCAGTGGAAGCCCATTGCATATGCTAAGCATGCACATGTACTGTACACTTACATATCTAAGCATGGGTAAAAGAACTGCCAACTGTGGCTAAGTGCCAACAATACCACTCATGTAATCGTATGCAAGTACCGTTTAGCAACACAAAGAGTCTCAGAATTCTACTTAGTGTTAAATCAAAGGAACAGAGGAGATTACTTAATTACACATAGACATAATCAACTGCAATACTATGCATTTTAGAACTTTTAACCAAGGTTTTATTGTCAAGAAAACCTTTATAAATTTCACAACTACGTTTGCCTATTCTTTTACATTTTCTTTCCCCCATGTCCGTATCAACACACAGACATATGTACACACCCCTGAACATCATCATTATTCAAGTGCTGTATAGGAATGAAAAACTAAGAAACAGAAAAACATTTTGTTGAATATAGCATACAGCAACATAGTTTAGTAAATCTTAGGTGAAGCTTTCAAATTTAGATAAAAAGCAGAGAGAATTATGATTTTTTAGGTTTGGTTATCTCCCATACAAAGTTACACATACTTTACACACTGCACTAATCCAGGTGTTATAGTACCTAAATGTATTCTTTGATTTTTCCCTTTGCACTCTTTACATATTTGATCTCTTACAGTTCCAGCTTTGAGTTTCTGCAACATATATCCTACTTCCCATTCAAAATCTCTTCAGTAAATAAATAAATAGTAGCAAATTGCCCATCATGAATGACGGGGGTGGGGGGCAGTGGGGATGGAGCACTGCCACCCAGCGTCCCACAGTGCCACTGTTCCACCTCTGGCCCCATGTACCCCCCACCCTTCACATCCAATCCTGTGTGGCCTGCCCCCACAGTATCCAGCCCCATGGGCCCTCCACCACCTGCTGCTCCCAGTGTGGCCCCATG